ACTAGTTTATGTTTTATGCTATATTTGCTGATATTTAAATTTTACCCAGGGATTTATGCATGTTTCATTGTGGTCACTATTTTAATGTTAAATTTTTTAGGTTTAATTATATTTTAATCCTCCATATTTCTGTGTAATTTATTTTAGTCAGTAAACATGATTTATGGGTTATTTGCATTTTAGTACATATGTTATTTAATATATGTAATATGGGTTTTAGTTTATTTGTAATTACTGTGTATCCCTTTTAGTTGTTGTTATTATCATGTTAGTCCTTGTAATTTTCAAGTACTCTCATTTTGACCATTGTATTTTGGTTTGTAATCTTCATTTGTTTTTTATTTCCGTCCCTAATGTTATTATGGGATTATTTATATTTCCAGTACCTACATTATGTAATGTTTTTAATCTTGGCTCTGATTTGTTGTATTTACTGGTTGAGTCCTTTAAGTTTTTTTATTTTCTATTTTAGTCCTTTAACTTTTTGTTTTAGCTATTTTAGTCCTTTAAGTTTTTGTATTTTCTATTTTGGTCCTTTAACTTTTTGTATTTAATGTTCAACCCTTTTAATTATATTTTAGTCCATTAAATGCTTATTTTTGGTATTTTATTTTTGTTTGTAATGTTTGTTGGTTTTTATTTTAGTCCTTTATGTTATCAAGTATGGTTAATTTATATCTTAAGCATATCATATTTGTATGCATATCTATTTTAGTCCAACATTGGTAACGGTGTTATATATGTACATATTTATTTATATATTTTAATTTATGTTTTAAGTTTGGTTCTTTTACATATTTTAATATATATTTATATCAAGCTATTAATTTGTACTCCACTATTTGTCATTATTATAATAGTTTCGAGAATGATATTTGTAGAATGGGTGGAGAAATCACCACTTGATCGAAGTGATGTAATCCAATATGACATTCAAACTAAATACGAACTTGAAATAAATCAATTGTATTTTGCTAATTATTAATTTATTTCATTTTAAGTCGAACATTGCAATGAATGTCTCTAGATAATAATTTATTTCATTTCATGCAAGTTATCGATCTTCATTATACATTTTATATTCGATTTTTTTAGTTAATCAATTTATTTTGTTGTATGTAAATATCGATTCTTTTTATATATTCGATTCGTATATTATCGATGAGGGAATATTTTTTTACGGATAAGAAATAGACGAGATATCTTTCCCGATGGAGGATTGCTAATCTCGAAGTTTCTTTTCAAGTTAAAGAATTTTCCCTAATTAAATAATTCGAGGCAAATTAATTAAATCTCAATAAACGAATCATAGGTTAACTTTATATTTGATTCAACATTTCCACCATTTACGACGATGTGTAAACGACACAATACCAATTTTGGGCGTTGTGGGGGTGTTAATCCTTCCCCACGCATAACCGACTCTCGAACCTTTTTAAATCGAATCTTTGTGACGCATACTAGTTTTTTGTCTTAAAAATGATTTTTCCTTAAAATTGTTTTAAAAGACATTTTTAGGTATTCGACTACCTAACCCAAAGGTCGATAGCGACTCATTTCCATTTTTTTCAAATTAATTCCAAATCACCAGTTTTTCCAAAATTGAAGTCATAACTGTTTTAAAAATAATATTTTAATTATTTTTCTAAAAAATGGTTATGACATCTTGGTGACTCTGCTGCGGACCTTTTTTAGAGAGTCAGGTTGTAAGTCGCTTACGCATTGTCGTTTGGTGGAAACTATGAGATCGAGTCTTTAGTTAACTCATGATCTGTTTATTGAAGTGTTTAATTGCTTCATTTTTAATTGTCATACTAACATTTTAATTTTTACTTTCAGCTTTGATGAGGTTTTATCAAGTTTTTTCTTATTTCGTTTTCCTTTTGAGTCGAATGTTTGTACACTCCTCCTCACACATATCACGTGCATTTGCATGACATAAGCTCTAGACCCGAGCTTCAATCCAAATTAGTCGGGGTGAATGCTTTACTCTTGTATGAATTTATTCTTCGTATGAGTTTTAACAAATAACCCATGGGATACATACCTTATACCTTTGTAGGGATTTATTCCTCATATGGGTATAAGGCAGTGAATCCCCTCTAATTGAACTCGTTCCGTTTGAAACCTGTAATGGGTGAAGATCAAGGGTTTGGTAGCCCAAGGGGAACCAACATCAAATCAATTCGAGTACCTTTTCTTCATAGAGGTGAAACTATGCATATAGTAAATCGTAGATCGGTCACCCTAGGTATAGTCATATCGAACCTCTGTCCGTCAGTAGGTACCCAAATAAAAGTGTACAAGAAGGAGGAACGACTTTTAACCTTTACCTTTTTCTTTAAGTTCATATAATATATTTATTCTCTTAGAATAAAATCATGCGAACTAGATATTATACGGTTAAGATTATTTTTTTTGAAAAAAATCATTTGGGTAGATAACATGTCCTGGTATCATGACAGGGTAGGTGTTATATTCATCTTTGAATAACATTTTATCTGTATCGATTGTCTTACTTATACTAACTAATTTCTTTTCTTTTGTTTATGTACACTAATTTTGTTTATTTTCTTTTGCTTATATCATTTTTCATCATTTTTGCATTGCATTGCATCGTCATAACATAATGCAAGAGTGTTGATCCGCAAGGGGATATTCGAGAGAAAATTTTCACAAGAAGAGGTGAAAGTTTTCAATCAAGTAGTCGCATACACAGACATACACCGAAGGCTAAAAGAAGTTCAAAGTACCATAATGAGACTTGCTCGAAGATCGTGCAACATTCGAAACTGGAATGATGATTCAATGATCCGAGGAGTAGTCCAACAATAGAGTCTTATCTAAGATCATTCTGTCACTAACCATCAAGGAGCGACACACTGACTTCAGCACTGCTGGGGCATTAACGGAGTCAGATTACGGAATGCTTGAGGGGCATCATTTTTCGAGGACGAAGATCCAAGATGAAGTAATGATCCAATTCAGACTCAACATCTAAGCGAAGACATGATTGTAAAGTGGATTGTCTTGTAATGTGAAGGCTTTTATCTCTTGTGAAAATTGTTCTACGATATTCATCGTTGGGATCAACATTTTTGCATATGCATTTGTATATTTGCATTTTGCATTTTGCATCTGTATTTTATTTTTATGCATTTTCACTTGCATTAATTCATGGAGGATTCGATGAAGTGGTCCTAACCACATTAAGAATAGAAGCAAGATTCGAACAAAGGGTAAAACCTGAAATCAGCATGATGGACTCTTGTTCGGCTGGTTGTAGGGTTGAGCCTTCCAGGATGATCTAAGAAAATAGTCCCCATATCTTGAGGGTTATAATGTTGAAGTTGTATATGAAGCTCCAGACATTCCACTGAAAACTATAAGGCACTGAAGCACAAGATCCAGAAAACTGATGGATTTAGGGGCATGGACAATCAAAGAAAAATAGGGTCATTGCATCAACCAATTGCACTAAGATCATTGTTTTGTTTGAACTCATTTTTGTTCTTTCTTTAATATTTGCTTAAATATTTTTAATCTTTAATGACTGCATTTATGCTACATTCTAAGGTTGAAGTATATAACGAGTTTTAATCTTGAGTTCTTCGAATATTAAATGAATTACGGATTCTCTTAATTCTTCTAGAATTATGAATTTTTGACATATGACAAGATTATACCTTCCTTATCCTATCTAAAACCTTAAAATAAAGTCTCTCGATTCTTTACCCGAAATAATTCATGGTCATTACCAAAGAACCAAATTTTGACATTCCCTCTGTTTGAGACCTTGAAACATTCTTTTCGACCTTGAAACATTACATTTATCTTTTTGATACACAAAAAAGTCATACCCTTACATTTCGTTGAGCCAATAAAGTCACACTATCGTCTTCTTAGACGCAAAACCGATATTTTTCTACCAATAAAACCTAAAGTCATTGAGTACAAAATGTTCACTTGAACGTAAACCTTCTTCTAAGAAGACAAGACGTGGGGCATCTCTCATTAATTTTCTGAAGATGAGCCTGAACAATTGAGACATGCTAGGAGCAAGAAGAAAAAAAGAGAATTAATTCAAAATAATTCTATCATGCATTATTTACATTGTTTTCACGTGAATAAAAATTAATCCTAAAAATCTATCCTTGGGGGTACCTCTTCTGCAAAGACTTCTGTGTATGAAATGATGAACGACTTTCTTTCTTTATCCTTTCACAACAGGAGAAAATATATATCCCCTGTGTCCCCATTTGAGCCTGAATTATGTTTTTTTTTTCTTCTGATTCAACCCTAACCAATGATCACCCTCCACATTGGGGGGCAAGGTGGAGGAAATCTACTCGCATGAGTGAAGACATCGATTCAGATGAGATACCGAAAGGTGAACCAAATAATCTTAAACAACTATTATATCTCAATCAATATGTAAACGTCCAACTCAGATGACCGTTACTCTTTTAATAGAAAATGACGAGTTTAAAACATAACAAATAATCGGGTTACCATTTTGTAATTTTAATAGTCAGAGGACTCGACAAATGAACTTCCTATAGTCAGATGATCATTTTATAAATTTTAATAGTCGAACAAAATAACAACTTATAATCAGAAAATCATTTGTGTACTTTACCTTTAAATATTCAAGAGATATTTATAATATTATATCAGATCGAGTTTTTTCACTTTAAACTAAATTTAACATAATCAAACCTTATTTAAAAAATTCAACTCGACTCAACTTCAAATTAAATTTTAAAATTAAAGATTAATCCAACGTAATTAAATCGAAACTAGTTAGATCCCCCATCTCTAATAAGAATATGGGAGATCCACCAACTCCACCCCATCAAATCTCCACCGTTGGATTTCAGGAGTCTTAACTATTTATACATAACTAAATATACTCATATCCCTCGCCACTTCTTCTCTCTCTCGTTGCTATCATCTTGTTCCTCGTCGAAGGGAGAGTGTTTTCTTCATTTCTCTAACCCATGACTCTTTCCGTCGAGAAAACCGCCGCCGGTCGTGAGTACAAGGTCAAGTACATGTCTCAGGCTGACTTCGGTCGTCTCTAGATCGAGTTGGCCGAGGTCGAAATGCCCGGTCTCATGGCTTGCAGAGCCGAGTTCGGCCCATCCCAACCTTTCAAAGGAGCCAAAATCACCGGTTCTCTTCACATGACCATCCAAACCGCCGTTCTCATTGAAACCCTGACCGCCCTCGGAGCCGAAGTCCGTTGGTGTTCTTGCAATATCTTCTCTACCCATGACCATGCTGCCGCCGCCATTGCTCGTGACTCCGCCGCCGTGTTCGCCTGGAAAGGCGAGACCCTCCAGGAATACTGGTGGTGTACCGAGATAGCACTTGACTGGGGTTCCACTGGCGGACCTGATCTGATCGTTGATGATGGTGGGGATGCTACTTTGTTGATCCATGAAGGAGTTAAAGCCGAGGAGGTTTAGGAGAAAACTGGGCAGCTCCCAGATCCGTCGTCTACTGATAACGCTGAGTTTCAGATTGTTTCGACCATAATTAGAGATGGATTGAAGGCAGATCCCAAGAAGTATACAAGGATGAAGGAGAGGTTAGTTGGTGTTTCTGAGGAAACCACTACTGGAGTTAAGAGGCTTTATCAGATGGAGACCAATGGATCCTTGTTGTTCCCTGCTATTAATGTCAATGACTCCGTCACCAAGAGCAAGGTACTTTTTTTGGTGAATTGTTTCAGATTTGGTGTTTGCTTGCTCTGTTTTCACTGTTAGTACGGTAACTTTGGTTGAGAACTTGTTTAGATCTTGATGTTTTGTTAAATGAAAAGCAAATTAGTCAGCTTTAAATAGTTTGTAATTGATGCTCACTCGATTATGAGCTGATGTTTTATCAGACACTTCCATTAGTATTCACTTTCAATGCTGATAGTCTTTTGTTCATTTGCTGAATTGTGGTTTCTATTGTCGTTTCTGTATTCTGATCTAGTTGCTGATGTGATTTGATCTTTTGGAACAGTTCGATAAATTGTATGGATGCCGGCACTCTCTTCCCGATGGTTTGATGAGAGCTACCGATGTCATGATTTCTGGCAAGGTTGCTGTTGTCTGTGGTTATGGTGATGTCGGCAAGGGCTGTGCTGCTGCCTTGAAGCAAGCCGGTGCTCGTGTCATCGTCACCGAGATTGACCCCATCTGTGCCCTTCAGGCTCTTATGGAAGGACTTCAAGTTTTGACACTTGAGGATGTTGTTTCCGAGGCTGACATCTTTGTCACCACAACCGGTAACAAGGACATCATCATGGTTGACCACATGAGGAAGATGAAGAACAATGCCATTGTTTGCAACATTGGTCACTTCGACAACGAAATCGACATGCACGGTCTTGAGACCTATCCTGGTGTCAAGCGCATCACCATCAAGCCACAAACCGATAGGTGGGTCTTCCCCGAAACCAACACATGCATCATTGTGTTGGCCGAGGGACGTCTCATGAACCTGGGCTGTGCCACTGGCCACCCTAGCTTTGTCATGTCATGCTCATTCACAAACCAGGTGATCGCCCAGCTCGAACTATGGAAGGAAAGGGCAACCGGCAAGTACGAGAAGAAGGTGTACGTTTTGCCCAAGCACCTTGATGAGAAGGTGGCCGCTCTTCACCTTGGGAAGCTTGGGGCTAAGCTCACCAAGCTCACCAAGGATCAAGCTGATTACATTGGCGTCCCTGTGGAGGGTCCATACAAACCTCCTCACTACAGGTACTGAGGAAAGAGATGGACTAGAAAAAACAACGCATCTGGATGGCTTGAATTTGTTTTGATGATTTGGGGTTATTAGATTCTTAGGGTTTATGCTTGGTTGGTAAGGCGTTGGTGGAAAACAAATGAAATGGTCTTCTGCTTGAAGAAGACCAGATGGGAGTTGAACTTTGAATAAGGTGTTGGGGTTGTGTGGATATTGCCATTGGTGCAGTCCAGTTATGATGTATCAATTAACTAATCACAAAAAGAAGGAATTTGTTCACTTTCACTTTTTTTAATTAATAATATGTATCAAATTTATTAACTAATTAATCCAGATTGGATATTGTAGAGATGAAGATGATATTCCCAACCAACCTAGGTCATGGCCCCATGCTAAAATATTTTTTTATTAAATTTAAATTTAGCTATAATTCTATTTAATCAAAATTAAATTAATTAGAATCTTATTTAATTTTAAATTAACTATAATTTTTTCTCTTCAAATCTTATATCAAGAGAAAAAAATATAATTTTATAATTTTATTAATTTAGTTTTAATTATAATTCTATTTAATCAAAATTAAATTAATTAGAGTTCTATTTAATTTTAAATTTAACTGCAATTTTATTTATTCGAAATCTTATAATTAACTTATATAATGTGATGTTCTCTCTTTCTTGTTTATTTAAATTATTTATGTACTTTTCAAATTTAAAGAATTTTTTTAAAACATGAAGGTAATCTTAATTAAAATTTTAAAATTTTGATGTTCTTTTGTATGTTTTTATTACTTTTATATGATTTTTCATACTTTAATTTTATTTTGTTCTTTAATTACGTATGAATTTGTAGTGTTATTTGCATTTGTTTAGCAATTTTTCAACTTCACCTACAAGATTATAGTAAAAAATTAAAAGATACTCCTCATATCTTATTTTATTCAATCAAAATTATTCATAATTTTTTTACCTCGATCATAGATGATTTTGGTTTTATGAAAAAAAGAATTCATCTTGACTGATGAAAATATTATATTTCGAATTATGTATTTATTAAAATAAAATTTAAAATTATTTTAGAACATGTAATTACACTAGTTTTAGTTATTAAATTTTAATATTGAAAGATTATATATATGAGAAATATCAGATAAACTTTTTATTATGTTTATATTGGCCTAGTCAATAATATTTTTCTGGATTCGCCACTTATCCAACTCAATTTACTTCATTCGTAAACGTTAAATTTTGAATATCTAATTTTGCTTAAATTATTTAGTGTCTCATTCAATTAAACTAACTTATCATTAATCACTTTCAATTTTTTATTTCATTACCCTCGTACTTGTCCCACTTTCTCACCAACCATGATTATATACACTTGAGTTTATTTTCTAAAACATTTTTGTATTACATATAATGTAAATATACATTACTCATATATTTATATGAAAATAAAAATTTATCGACAACTGATTGGTCTAATGGAATGAAGTCATGAAAGGATCAAATTGAGTTGAAAAGGTCGTTCTCATAATGAATCTCTAGAGATTCGATTTTTTATTAATCGATCAACAGATTGAATACTTAGGTTATACTAAAACATGAAAATAAAAAAAAATTAAATTATTAATTAAGTTTAATATTTTGATTAAATAATTATAGTTTAAATTTGAATATGTATAAGAAATAGAAAATAAATAAGATAGAAATCAATTAAACTTATTTGAAATATTAAAATCTTTTAACAAATAATATGTACCAATATGAATTAATATTGACTGAAATAAAACTGAAATAAAATCTAAACTGTTTAGTATTGACTTGGAACTGATATCAATATAATATTGATAACACTAAAAAATACATTAAAAACTAGAGAAAATAACCTCAGTGACCAAAAATCTTAGATAATATACGATTTTGACCAACTTTTTTTGGATTTGCGAAAATGACCAACAAAATCGCAATGCGATCTCTAATTCGCATTGCGATCTCCACTATTGCAAATTCACGTTGCATTTCGCATTGCGATAGTTGAAAATCGCGTTGCGTTTTTCCATTTCGCGTTGTGATAGTTAAAAAAAAGATTTTGTTTCTTAAGAATTTTCTCTAAAAAGATAGTATCCGCGCGGACGTGTCGAAGACACGTATTACCACGACCACGACCACGACCACGACCCGACCAGACCCGACCCGACCCGACCCGACCCGACCCGAGACGAGACGGACGGCGGCGGCGGCGCGCGAGAGTCCCCCTTGTTCTCTATCACTCAACAAGGAAGTGGGAAAGCCAAGCCTTAAATACCATTCCCAATAGTGTTTCCAATACTATGTGGGATTTGAGCATTACCAACACTTGTTCCCAATACTATGTGGGATTGAGCCTTAAATAGTGATATTATTTTTGAATGTTTTGCTTAAAATTACAATAATCGCGATTGATTGTAGATTGACTTTTAATTATGACATATTTAATCGTATAATACTAATGTAATTGGTTGTTGATTCAGTTGTTTTAAGTTGCATGATTGTTAATTGTTTCCTGAATAATCACATTGTATTGGAAACAAGTGTTGGTAATGCTCAATCCCACATTGTATTGGAAACACTATTGGGAATGGTATTTAAGGCTTGGCTTTCCCACTTCATTGTTGAGTAATAGAGAACAAGGGGGACTCTCGCGCACCGCCGCCGCCGTCCATCTCGTCTCGGGTCGGGTCGTGGTCGTGGTCGTGGTCGTGGTCGTGGTAATACGTGTCTTCGACACGTCCGCGCGGATACTATCTTTTTAGAGAAAATTCTTAAGAAACAAAATCTTTTTTTTAACTATCACAACGAATTTGGAAAATCGCAACGACAACTGTAGACTATCGCAACGAATTTGGAAAATCGCAACGACAACTGTAGACTATCGCAACGCGAAATAGAAAATCGCAACGCGAATTTCAACTATCGCAACGCGAAATGGAAAATCGCAACGCGACTGTAGACTATCGCAACGCGAAATGGAAAATCGCAACGCGACTATAGACTATCGCAACGCGAAATGGAAAATCGCAACGCGAAATGGAAAATCGCAACGCGATTTTCAACTATCGCAACGCGAAATGCAACGCGAATTTGCGATAGTGGAGATCGCAATGCGAATTAGAGATCGCATTGCGATTTTGTTGGTCATTTTCGCAAATCCAAAAAAAGTTGGTCAAAATCGTATATTATCTGAGATTTTTGGTCACTGAGGTTATTTTCTCTTTATTAAATTCTAATTTTATAATCGCTCACTCTTTTTCTTATACCACCAACCCCAACTATGAAAATATCTCAAATGTAAAATAAGGATAACCTACTGCCACCACTACCTCCTTTTATTTTGTCCATAAAGAATAATTATTAGGGTAAATTATACATTTAGTATATAAACTATTAGTATTATTTTTTTTGATATCCAAACTTTATTTTATTTTAAAATCATATATAATATTTATTTTATATTTCATTTTGGTACTCCGTCATTAAAAATGTAATGATGATATAGATTTGTCATCATAAGATAATGACACATCATCATTGAAAAAAATAAAAAATATCACATCAACATTTATGTTAATTTTTTAACATGTATCAAAATAAAACTTAAACATTAGGTATGATTTTAAAACAAAATAAAATTTAGATATCAAAATGAAACAAAAGTAATAATTTGGATACTAAATATAAAATTTATCATAGTTTTTAGAGAAAATAACCTCAGTGACCAAAAATCCCATATAATATACGATTTTAACAAACTTTTTACGGATTTGCCAAAATGACCAAAAAAATCGCAATGCGATCGCTAATTCGCAACGCGATCTCCATTATCGCAAATTCGCGTTGCATTTTCGCAATGCGATAGTTGAAAATCGCATTGCGATGGTCTACAGTATCGTTGCGATTTTCCCAATTCGCAATGCGAATAAGTAAATCGCAACGCGAATTGGGAAATTCGCAATGCGAATAAGTAAATCGCAACGCGAATTGGGAAAATCGCAATGCGATACTGACTATCGCAATGCGATAATAAAAAATCGCAACGAGATACTTACTTTCGCAACGCGATACTGACTTTCGCAACGCGATTTACATAGCGCCATTCGTATTAACGCGTATTTTTTTTTCAAATTCCAAACACGTATTTTTTCTTAATAAATCGGAAAATGAACCGTCCACAGTAATCGCAACTCATAACCTCAAACGCAAAAACACAACACTCAGTCCCATCTCCATCTCTCACTCTCTATGGCAAAATCCGTCCCCATCTCCGAAGATTTCCGTCCCCATCACCGGCGAAATCCCTCACAACCATTCACAGTCAAAAATCCCTCACAATCATTCAGAAATGGAAAATCAACCTCCGAGGGTTAGTTTTTTTTATTTTTATTTTGAATTTTTTGCATTATTTTAGGTTTTTCATATTGAGATTGATGATAAGTTTACTGGTAATTTCAATAATAGATTAATCATTTCACTTAGATTTCTTATTAAATTCATTCGATTGCTGCCAATACTGCTAAACTGTTTAGCCTGTGAAGTTAGTATTTGTCTTTGCTTTGTCTTTTGGTTGAAGTAATGCAGAAGAAGAATAGTTTCGAGAATGAAAATCGCAACGCGGAAATAACTATCGCAACGAGATAATCGCAACGCGTTGCGATTTTTATTTCGCGGTTGCGATTTTCATTTCGCGTTGCGATTGTCTGGTCGCGATAGTCATTTCGCGTTGCGATTCTCTCGTTGCGATAGTCATTTCCGCGTTGCGATTCTCATTATCTCGTTGCAATTTTCATTTCAACCAAAAGACAAAAACAGTGTTGCAAATTTTAGTTTCAAGAATAAACTACTATTTATGTTTATTGTTTTGTTTTTGGTATATCTTGACAGTGTAATTTTGGTATATCTAACTTGGTATGTTTATTGTTTTTTTGTAGAAATTTTTTTCGGCTTCATTGACATTAAGGAATAAAGTTAGCCTAGCCACTACAATTGCTTCGAAGCTTTCACCTGCACAAAGAAAATTGTTTGAAGAAACCTGCTTCGGGCCATGGCTGAGAGTACAGCATCCGGGTGGAGATGCTAGTTTGACCCATTTGTGGCTTCAGACCATGACTAGCGATCTACCCGACAGTATACAACGTGGTGAGGAAGAGATATGGTTTCATTTTCCACCGGCGTATACTTGTTTTGGGCGGAAGGAGTTCTGCTTAATCACTGGTCTACGATTCGGACACGATGATGTAGGCCGGTACA